ATGCTTATAAAAAAATTACGACTTTCACTAAATTTTGAAAAATTAAGCTTTTCGATTAGAATGAAATAAATCTTTTAAGCTAAATAAGACTTATCTAGTATGGTGTTAATATTAAATAATCATCAATAATTATCTTATTATATTACAATATGATCAAGATTAATAATCAATGTTCTTAAAATCGGACCGACCCGACTGATTGGACCAGGAAAATCTGTAACCGGTCTTAGAACCGAGCCGATGTAGATTAATAACCGTATATTAAGAAACCCGTTTGGAAACCACTAAACAGACCAGTTAAACCGCTAAACCGAAAACCGTTCCGAATTTTACGGGTTTTAAAATTTCTTTTAGGAGCAAACTTTTACTCCACTATTGGGCCAACCATGCAAATGAAAGGCCCATACTGAGATGTGGGTGTCATGCACCTGCTACTTTAATAGAGTCGGTGCCTTTAACATGTTGCACTGATTTCCGGTGGGATTCCACTCAATTCCCATAACACTATTTTCCAAAATTTGCAAGTTAAAACTTAAACTTTCAAATTTTAAATAGAATTTTTCATCTTTTAATATTTTCATTTATTCATTTTTTAAACTCAATCTAAAAATCACTTTATTATTAGCATAATAATGTTGGACGTCATTTTCAAATAAGCTCGTACGATTACAATTTTAACAAAGTAAAAATTATTTCAATATATAGATTATTAACCTTAAAGTATCGAAAATAAATGAATAATTGTATAATAATAAATTTAATTAGCAAAATAGACTTGTATTTACTTTGAATTATTAGTATGAAATTAAAAAATAATTAATGTTATGGTATTTTTGTGTCCGGTTCGATCCCGGTTGAATTTTTGATCCTTGACCCTTTACCTTGTTCGGGTCGGTTTTCAAAACATTGTTAATAATAATAATTCTAATTAGTTTTGTGCTTGGCGACCCCCATTTTCCCCTTTTTTTGCCCTCCCATGAGCAACTTTGGCTTATTGCTCGTTCGCGTAGAGACACTGCTAATATTTCGAAATTGCAAACCGATCGCATCTCGATGACCCACTCACACAGATGTAAAACCCTCAGCTGAAGATGTGTGGTGGTAGAGTGGTGGCGCGGCTTCCAACTCCGCCACCCCGGCATTTGCACAACTACATAGGTAAGGATGCATCCCATTCCACAGACCATTCGTCTCCTTTTTCCTCTTTCCAATGCCGCTCATTCTTCATTACGTACTCTATCACTTTTATTCCTACCTACAAACTCTAAGCTACATCTTTCTTCTAACACTTTCACTGCCATGTCCCTTGCACTCCATTTGTTTTTCTTGAGCTATTTCGTTACCCAATTGGACACAGATGGAGTATATGCACAAGGTCTACTGCCCGATTTGCAAAACCCAAATCAATGCAAAGAAAAATGTGGGAAAGTTATGATTCCATTCCCGTTTTATGTCAATCAGTCTCACTGTGTGTCACTTTCTAATGCTTTTCGCCTCTCTTGTGTTAATTCATCCTCTCTTTTCCTCAATATTGGGTCCGCAAGCTACCGGGTGCTCCATTTTTTCCCGGACGGTGTATTAGTGGACATCCCCAATACGACAATCTGTCGTCAGTACAATGATTTGAAGTCATTTACCTTTTCTGAAAATGAATACTTGGGCATTTCTACTGACAATGTGCTTGATTTGTATGACTGTGAGGATTCGTCTTTGTGCAAAGCAGATTGCGAAAAGGGTTTTCTTATATCAGCTTGTGATGGCAAAGCGGGTGACTATCCTTCTTGCTGCTACCCACTGTCGGACCATAGTGTTTGGCCCGAAGGAGAAAACAGTGATAGCTTCTCTGTTTTTTCACAGTTTGGATGCAGGGGATTCTCCTCTTGGGTTGCTTTGCCAGGCAGCATAACTGCCATGCGTGGTGTTAAGTTAGAATGGGCTGTCCCCAGAAATTCAACCAAAGCAACTTGTGCTGCCAATGCATATGCCGTCAATGCTTCCTCTGTTTTGTCAGGGATGAGATGCCAATGTCAAGATGGATTTGTTGGCGACGGCTTTGCTACCGGAGCTGGATGTCTCAAATGTGAGTTTTGCCCTTCTTTATTTTATTCGTGAAGTTCTACGTCGAGTGTTACCTTCACAGCATAGTTGATGACGTGCAAGAAAATATTTAATTAATCAATCAGTTTATGTTTCCAACTTGTCATTATTAGTAATTTAGCAGCATTGCATAATGTGTATAATAGTAACATTTCCATATTGTTTGGTCGTTCAATAAGCTTGCAACTTGTAAAAATCGTGTCTAATTTGTACCGTTACCTAGAATCAGGCTGCTCTGTGTTTGCTCGTATCTGTTCTATTTGTTTGGACCCACGAGTGAAGGAGACAAATTATGACTCTTTCCGAACACTGCAGGTATAGAGACTAACTGAAACTAAATGTGGTAATATAAATTGTATCATACATATCAAATTGAATATGTTTGTGTTATTGATGTATATACATTAGAAAATTGTTTGTAGTAAATAATAGAAGTCAAGTAAGTAAAGGGTAAAAAGTGAAATCTTTATGGTAAGTGAACTAGTAGCATGTTATGAATGTTATTAATTTTCTACGTGATGTGGGGAGATACAACCACTTTTCCCAAAAACTATGGCTGATGGGAGAGGCTCAATCAAACCCTTCAGTGATGCTCCTCTTCACTATTTGATATATTTGGTATATAGCAACACTATAACGTTGTCACTGTGCTGATTATGTGCGGTAACTGCTTGCTAGAGCAAATGGAATTTCTTTGTCATTTTCATTTTAAGGATCGACTGGAATTTGATTATGAGTTTAATTTAATTTTTTTTCCCCAATATGATCTGTACCAAGTAATTTCCTTTTCGACAGCCTGCTTCAAGGATGGAAAGGAAGTGTACGGTAATGATTGTTACCCTGTTGACCATAGAAGAAAGAAAGCAGCACTTCTAGCTGGTAAGTAACTTTAGCTTTTTCTTTGAATGGACCCAAATATTTCCTTCAGCATGGAACATATATTGAAGCTTTCTGTATCTGCATTAGTTACGAAATGATAAAATAAATCTGTTTTTGGAGAATAATTCACTTGTTGATTTTTTTCTTCATGTAATTCCCAGAAGTCACCATGAACCCTATTATTTTCTTTTGCAACTCCATAAAATTTAAGCTTTGAATCTCATAAAGTTATGCTCTTTTGATAGAAAGACTTCCTGACATCATTCTGTTATGCAGGAATCTTGACTTCGGCTTTGGCGATTGCATCCTTGACAGCACTTTTTTGTCTTCTGAAACGGCCTATTAAGTCAGATGTATTTATTTCTGATCAGGCCCACTGTCAAAGTACCATTTTATCAAGAAAACCCTGCACGGCTAGATTATTTACTTACCACGAGCTTGAGGACGCCATAAGAGGATTCGAAGACAGGCAGAAAATCGTTGATGGCACCAAGACCACACTGTATGCTGGAATTCTTATAGATGGATTGCATATCGCTGTGCAAAGGGTACAATGTGAGAGCCAGAGAGACCTCATTCAAATTCTGTCCAGAGTGGAGGTGTTGTCTACCATTTCACACAAGAACATGGCACGTCTTGTTGGATGGTATATTGATTCTGGATACACTCCCCTGGTGGTTTATGAGTATCCTGCGAATGGAACCCTCGAGCAACATTTACATCAAACACAAGAGCAAAAGATAGCTCTTGACTGGTACAAGAGATTGAATATTGCTGCTGAGACTGCATGTATTCTTGCATTCCTCCATGAATTTTCACCTCCAATCTTCCACCATAATCTGCACTCTGATTGCATCTTTTTAGATGAGGATTTCAGTGTAAAGCTTGCTGGATTTGAGCTACTCAATGCTGTCCATGAGGATGTTTGCCATTCAAGAGGAGAGTTTGAAGTTTCACATTGCAGGAGGAATGATGTTTATGGCATTGGCCTTGTCCTTTTAAAGCTTATCACAGGCAAAGCACCACTGAATTTTTCAACAATAGTTTTGCCGAAGATAAAGAACGGAAAGCTAGAAGAAATTGTGGATCTGAGTCTATACTATCACGAGCAACCACCATTTTGCCGGGACCAGATAGAGATAATTGCAGACCTTGCAACAAGGTGCTTACTGTTTGGTGCTGACGGCAAACTCAGTATGGTTGACGTAGCCAGGGAGTTGGTGCACATCACAAAATATAATCTAGATGGTAGGAGAGGTCCTACACTGGAGGAAACATTTTCCAATTCAAGCCTCCTTCAGATGATATCTATGTCACCAGATTCTATATATGTTCCGTCAGACAATCTCGCTTCCAAATCTGAGTCGACATCTTTATGAGAAGTCTACATGCATGTGTTTTAAGGGCTTGTATTTTGTTTTCAATTGACTGCTACTAATGTATATTGAGAGAACGTATGAAATTATTTTTAGCCCTTTCATATGACAATATAGTGAATTGTAGGAATTTTTAGATTGTTCTCTCGTGTGCGTTAGTATTCCGTTTTGTTTGTTTTTGTCCTCTCCTCCCTTCTGTCCCTTTACCTTACATTACTTGGTCATCATTTGTGATTATTAGAATTTTTAGATTGCTGCAAGAACAATCTAGAAATGTATGGTTATTAGATGCTACAACAAATTGAAGCCGGATCTTGGAATGGGTAAGGCTGGGAAGAGGAACTATACTGTTTTCAAATATCTTTTCGAGTAGAATAATATTATTTACAATCGCTCATTATTATAATCATCTTACATAATATACGTGCAATGATTAGTGGTTTGATGCATAGTGTAATAAAAAATTACTAAATTAATACATCAAATCACCAACCGTCATATTTATGCGACGTAGGTCGACTATAACAGTGAACGACTACAAATAGCATTACTCTCATTTTGTGTATAATATCAATGTGCTTCAATTTATGATCTTGAAAGTTTCCATGCAATTGTACTTCCTATGTGGTGGTAACACAGCACGCAATCTATGTTGTATAGCCCTGAGCCTTTATTAGAGTTCGAAAAAAATATAGAATCATACAGCTTTCATTGAAGATACAAATTATTTCCATAAAAACACAGCAACCTACGCTTAACTGACAATCTGGAACTGTCTCCAAACAAGATATTCAAGAAAACTGCAGCTAGGCAAGAGGCCGTATAACAAAAGCTTGATCACAAGTTGAGATATGATATGCACTCTACATGATCTTACCCTCAAAAACATTTGAAGCTGAACAAAAAAGAAACACCTCATCTTTGTTTCTCAGCAACAAAAACAAAGAAAAATAATCTAAGCTCTTAGCAACAATCACAAAGATTGATAATCTAAGCAACGCAAGTCTCAAAAAAAACCCTGATAATCCATAGCTTCTCTTCTTGTTTGTTGCCAGTCATGTTACCTTTTTCAATTTTTTTTGGAATTTTAATGAGTTCAAATATCACTATATCCAATTAGAGCGAAAATGAGATGGAAAAAACATTGATCCCATTTTCTTTTGTTTTTTTTCCCACCATATCTAAGTAGAACCTTGCAACAAGAAGCAAATCTATCCACTCATCCATCAAAGGCCTGGGCCAAAGACCAACCACCAATGAACTATAACAAATAGCAGCTTTCCCAATAGGAAAGACAAGGGGGGTGTCTTTTCCCTCATTGAGAAGAACAAAAATAAAGGTATGTTCTTGGTGAAATATCACCTAGCAGATCAATAGGCACCCCTGGCACTCTTTATTTTATGCATGATTTCCGAGCCTCCCTCAGTTCTTGAAAAGTTATCGTGTATACCATTTATTCAGAAGTTCAAGGAGGAGAACTGCAGCAGAATCCTTGGCTTTCTTGACGCTTGGCATAGGCTCTCCAATACATTCATCAGTCCATCCTCTATCAGAAGTATTAACACGCACTGCAAATGTGAATCTTTTTGCATGTGCAGGACCACCTTCTTGTACGCATCTAAAAGTGAAAAATACTAAATTAATGCAGAGAACATCTAACAACAAGATGACTTCCTTTTATGCATAAATTTTGACTTATAAAAGAAGAAATCTAATTACCTATATAGCGGCATTGGCCAATTTCTTCGCAAGCAAATATCATTCAAGGTCTGCCTGGTAAAAGTTTGGCTGCCGTTCTTCTTCTTTTTCTCATCATCTTCTTCACCTTTCTCCATGGCTTCGGCTGTCTCCTTCTCTTTCAAAGCAACAAGAGCATTCCTAGCAGCCAATTTTTGTGCCATTTTCTTCTGGGGATTCTGGGCAATCCCAACCTGGACACCATCAACATATACTTCCACAGTTGCCATATTCCCACTTCGTGTGGCCTTGTACTCTAGACCTTCAGCTTGTTGCTGACATCGTTCTTGCAATTCTCGAACAGGGTGCATAGGGAGTGTCTCTGGGGTGACCATTGGATTCAGCAATGGCTGGAAAACCTGGAAATATACAAAAATGAGAGAATTTTCAATTCAAGCTTCCCATCCATCCGCAGTAAACTATAAATTACCATCAAAATCACCAAAACACTAATTTTGATTTGTCCCATGAATATCACTAACCTTCCATACAACTGCAGTGTTGCATCCACTGTCAAGGAAGATGGCCCCAGCAATTGATTCAACAATATCACCAAGAACTTTGGGAGCTTTGCAATCCCCCAGACCAAAAGAGTTGAATCCTGGTTTTAGAAGTTCGTTTTGAACCTCTTTGACAAAATCCCGAATCTGATAATTAAATAAACAAAAGAGCCTTATTACATGATTTTTACAAAAGTAACTAATATAGATACAAATAAGTGACGTTCCACTTTTGTGACAAGAATGGAGCCTTCTCACTCAAAATTCAAAATTAACTAGCCAATATCAAATCCAACCGCCCTGGGCATCATCGGCAGCGGACACAAGCCCTTGAACGGAAACCCACCGGCCTCATGCCACAAAAACCTAACCTTTCCTTCCTGCAAGCGGCAACCCATCCTTGTGAACCTAGCTCCACCGCTTGGAATCGTGGAGCAGATGACGGCACGCCAGTGATTGATGCTATGGA